GCGAACAGCACCCCCGTGGCTGAGTCTTGACCGTGATGACCGGGCGCCGCCGTAGTGTTTTTCGAATCTTCGTCGTCGTCGTCGAACGCACCGACGTACTTCAAGTAGTCGGGTATGATCGGTACGATCACCATGTACAACATGTTATCTAGCAGCAGGGCTATCGAGACAATGACTAGGACTAGTTTGCGTTGAGCCTTCGGCTCCTGCACTTTCGTCCAGATGAGCTCCTTGAGCTCGTTCAGGTCGATGTTGAATATCGGTATGCTCGTCATGTTGCTCGCTTTTACGACGGATCTTCCAGGATCTAATGCGGTAAACTAAACGCGATCTTGTGCGACCTTGGGAGCGACCGTGACGAAGAGATCGTCGCGATTGGGGCGGCGCGCATCAGGCCAGGCCGGGGATAACCTACAACAGATCACCGAGTTGGCACGGTTAGCTCCCGAAACCCTGACACGACCGTTGCGTTTCTTTCGTCGCTAAGCTGCTATCTCCGGGATCGTTTCTCTTTTTTTTTGAACGGTGGGCCAACGAGAAAGGGGAGCCCTGACCCGGCCTGATCGGCGCTTACCGGTTCTCATCCCACCCCGACGCGACCTCTCTTGCGTCCGCACCTCGAAGACCTCGTCCAACGAAGGCTTTTCACTCCCGACCACGCGATACGACACACCGCGATTCCTCGGTTCTTTCTAGCGGGTATAGAAGCGAACATGACACCGGGTGGAGGCTCCCCCTCGATAAGGCGGCACGATCTGTACCCCTAGCTACCTATGTCTGGCTGGTCGCGTATCGTGTTACGAGAGATAAAAACACCGGCGAAACGAGGGTGAAGGTCGACGTATAGCGTACGGCTTTACTCTATGAACTCGCGCTAATTATTCAGACGACCAATTCGGCAACGTCGACTGTTAATCGCGGACGATCGAATTATTTCCCTGGAACGATCGTTGGCGGAACCGACGGCCCTGCGAGGCGCCCTCGTTTATTAATTACGATGACTGGTCGACGCGCAGGGAACCGTAACCTCGTCAACGATCGTAACGAACCTCTACGGGACTACGGGCTTGTACGCGCAGGACGAGGGGAACGCCAGAAAGGGGACTCGTCAACTTACCAGAGTTATTGGCGAATTTCTGCCTGAGGGAGTTGGCGAGGCGTTGGGGACCCGCCAAAGTCGGAAGTCCGGCAAACAGATTACTCAATGTTGACGACACGTCCGGTCTCTCCTGGTCCTTTGAGTCGTTTACCGACTCCTTCGCCTCTTGCGTCCCTGGGCCCTCCACCTTTTCAGCCGAATTCGCAACCGAGCCTGAAACACCATCCGGTATTTCTAAATCAGGCTACGATCAGAAAAACTAAAGCGAACATCTCGGAACTTCGACCATTATCTTATGCCGCGTGTTCGATCTATATTTATCCCTTTTGCGGCTATCTATATCGCGTTACATTTGAAGAACAGACTATATTTTATCCACATGCGTGACTTCCCAAGGCAATTTGCCGTTGACCAGGCTATTCCCAACGTATCATTTGCTTTCTCTATTATTCCGTGAAAAGTCTCTGGAAATAAACTCCGTTTGCACCCGGGGTTACGTAACCGATCCGACGTTCGATTCAGAAATCGATAGACACCCTTTCAATTTGGACAACGATCGAAATTCGCGACGAGACGGCGAAGAGGAAGAAGCAGTAACGTCATTGAAGTTACTTACTGAGACCGAAGGGCTCCCGATGGCAGGGGTGTCTCGGCGTGTCTCTCCGTTCGGATGGCTTTGGAACGTCTGCCCTCGAAGTCCTCCCCGCCACCGTGTTGTACGGCACCCTCTTCCCGTCCCCATGATCCGCGGCCGAGGAGGAAATTGTGACAGGGCGCAGCCGCGGTTTCCAGGATCCAGGGATTGGCCACGGCACCGTGGCTGTGCGTCAGCCCCCAAACCCTCTACCCATCGCGTACAAACTATCCGCATACACCCCCGCTAACTTCTGCTCGTTCTACAGGGTTCAGGGGTGGCATGGCCCCGGGGCAAGAGGAAGAACACCAGGTATAACGACGACGGTCGATGCTGCGCGGTATTTCTGGCGGCAGGTCGATATGAGCTTCACCTGTACTACTCTCGCCTGAGACGGTTTCTCGAACGCGGTGAACGCCGGCCCACGTTTACGGCCGACGATTGCCCGCAGGTTAGTCCACCTTCATAGGTACTTGTATCTCCTGGTCATCGATTTTTCTGTTTGGTGTGAGGCATTTTTTAGAAATACTGTGTTTATGTGGCTTCAGAGTCGAGGTAGATCGATTGGAATTCTTCAGAGACTTCATCTGCAATTTTCGGAAATTATGACGCGTCATTGGTTTACATTTCTATAGATCTTTCGGGGTAGATCAAATTTTTCGGAGATTTTATTTATAATTTATGGAAATTGTGACGCGTATGTCGTTGGACACACGGTGTTCGTAAAGCTTTCTACAGAATATTCGAGGTAGATTAAATATGGAATTCTTCAGAGACTTCATCTGCAATTTTCGGAAATTATGACGTGTCACTGGTTTACATTTCTATAGATCTTTCGGGGTAGATCAAATTTTTCGGAGATTTTATTTATAATTTATGGAAATTATGACGCGTATGTTGGACACACAGTGTTCATATAACTTTCTACAGAATATTCGAGGTAGATCGATTGGAATTTTTTAGAGGTTTCATCTAAAATTTTCAGAGATCATGACGCGTCATTGGTTTACATTTCTATAGACTTTTTCGAGGTAGATCAAATTTTGCGGAGATTCTGTTTACAATTTTTGGAAATTATGACGCGTATGTCGGACACACGGTGTTCGTAAAGCTTTCTACAGAATATTCGAGGTAGATTAAATATGGAATTTTTTAGAGACTTCATCTACAATTTTTAGAAATCATGACGCGATGTCATTGGATACAGTGTCATATTAATATCACCTGTGATTTTAAAGAATATTTGAGGTAGATCGATTCTGGAATTCTTCAGAGGTTTCATCTACAATTTTAGGTATCAGTATGAGAGGAGCAGGACAAAATGGCGGTGCGAGAGGTGAAATGGAAAAGTACAATTGAGTTGTTAAAAGTCCTATTAGGTTAGGTTAATGAATACCTTTTAGCATATTGAAAAAAGAATAACCTATTTTGGGGTCAGGTAGATAAGGTTAAGTTAATGAATACATTTTAGTATGTTAAGAAAAGCATAACCTATTTTACGGTTAGGTAGATTAGGTTAGGTCAATGAATACATTTTAGTATACTGAAAAAAGCATAACCTATTTTACGGTTAGATAGATTAGGTTAGGTTAATGAATACATTTTAGTATATTGAAAAAATCATAACTTATTTTAGGGTTAGATAGATAAGGTTAGATTAATGAATACATTTTAGTATATTGAAAAAATCATAACCTATTTTAAGGTTAGGTAAATTAGGTTAAGTTAATGAATACATTTTAGTATGTTAAAAAAAGCATAACCTATTGTAGGGTTAGATTGATTAGGTTAGGTCAATAAATATATTTTAGTATATTGAAAAAATCATAACCTATTTTGAGGTTAGGTAGATAAGGTTAGGTTAATGAATACATTTTAGTATATTAAAAAAAGCATAACCTATTTTAAGGTTAGGTAAATTAGGTTAGGTTAATGAATACATTTTAGTATATTAAAAAAATCATAATCTATTTTAGGGTTAGGTAGATGAGGTTAGGTCAATGAATACATTTTAGTATATTAAAAAAATCATAATCTATTTTAGGGTCAGGTTGATTAGGTTTGGTCAATGAAAACATTTTAGTATATTGAAAAAAACATAACCTATTTTAAGGTTAGGTAAATTAGGTTATGTTAATGAATACATTTTAGTATACTAAAAAAAGCATAACCTATTTTAGGCTTACGTAGATTAGGTTAGGTTAACACATATTCCATAATACATTTTGAATAAAAGAAATTAATTTATTTTTTTCCTTTTTTAATTTAAGCGTCTTGTTATTTTTCCAACATACTATAAACAAAAATTTGTTCGATTCAAAAATAAATATCTAGCGTGTATAAATAAATAACCGGAATATGTCTGGTTGCCTAGTACGCTGGTGCAATATATCATAGCGAGTGAATCGATAAATTGGGTCAAGAGTTTTTATATCTCGATTCAGAAATATGCACCGAGATCTCAATAAATCGATTCAGTTGTTGAAATTTGTAAATATGGCTGGCGGAGACTTGTACAGCACACGGCACTCCGCTCGTGGAAGTTTCCAGATGGGGCGGTCTTCGTGGAGAGTCGTCGAAATTCTCACGGAAGTTTCCTTGAGATGTCGCTTTTGTTTCGTGAGGTTTCATAATTATTAGCATCTGCGTTTAATAATTTTCTGTTCGTGATAATTGAATAATGATATGCAATTTATTGGAGTGTGCAAATAATTGGAATTGAAATTTGTTCAAAATTTGGGAAATTAATAAAATTGATTGAGAAGTATGAGTGCGTCTTGTGACGCACTTATAGTGCAGGGGGTGGACAATCTGTAGATTGGGAATTTTTAAAGTTCTCAAGTTTTTGTAAGTCTTTGAAAATTTGCAAGTTTAATCATTTGAAAATGTCTGAGTCCAAAAGTTGCAACAAAGTTCAAAAATTGCAGCCAAGTCTAAAAATTGCAACCAAGTCCAAAAATTGCAACCAAGTCGAAAAATTACAATAAAATTAAAAAATTGCAACGAACTCTAAAACTTATAACCAAGACCAAAAATTGCAACCAAGTCAACAAGTTGCAATAAAATTCAAAAATTGCAGCCAAGTTTAAAAATTACAACCAAGTCCAAAAATTGCAACCAAGTCAACAAGTTGCAATAAAATTAAAAAATTGCAGCCAAGTTTAAAAATTACAGCCAAGTCCAAAAATTGCAACCAAGTCCAAAAATTCCAAAAATTGCAACCAAATCCAAAAATTTCCAAAAGTCCAAAAATTGCAACCAAGTCCAAAAATTCCCAAAATTCCAAAAATTGCAACCAAGTCCAAAAAATCCCAAAAGTCTAAAAATTGCAACCAAGTCTAAAAATTCCCAAAAATCTAAAAATTGCAACCAAGTCCAAAAATTCCCAAAATTCCAAAAATTGCAAAATGCCAAAACTGAAAAAACCAGAACCTCAAATTCCAAAAAGACTTGAAAAAGCAAACTGTCTAATAAAAATAAAGAGACAAAATTCACCGAATAAATAAACAACAAAAAAAAAAACGGAAAAGTCATAAGAAGTCGAACTAAATGTTGTTCGAAGACCGTAAAGCGGTGGTCAATCGAGAGCAAATCGACGAAGAAGAGCGTTTGTGTCTCTGCCACCAATAGCAGCGCACTATGGACGTTTTATAACCGGGATCTCGAGTGAAATCACGCTGAGAAACCGACGTTTAACGATGTTAATGGTACAATGCGTAATTATAGCGAGATTTATGCGCATAGTTTGAAAGTCACGTTTCAGGGAAGCCGTTAACAGGAGAACACAAGGAGATACAAAAGATAAAGAATCGAGCATCTAATTGCTGTCGAATTAAATAGCCAGCAAGTGTATTGTGTCGTTTGTCAGTGTTGCAGAAATTGCTTGACAAATGGCGGTGTGTCCTTGACGCTACAGTTGCTTCGCGATATATTGCCACGTTTCTTCTTTTTTTTATTTTGTTTACTGTGGGTTGGGAGATTTTTTGGGCTGTTGTTATGGTGAATAGTAATTAGTAAATCATACTAAATATGATTTAGTAATAATTTGATTTAGTAATAAATATGATTTAGTAATGATTTAGTATGATTTAGTATGATTTATTAATTACTATTTATACTAAATCATATTTAGTATGATTTAGTATGATTAGTATGATTTAGTATGATTTAATTACTATTACTATTTTAGTATGATTTACTAATTACTATTTACCATATTAAATCATATTTAGTATGATTTGGAGAGAGGGAAAGCTGTGGGAAATTGAAAAGTGAATTTTAGTGTTTTGAAAGAGATTTGATTGGGAAATTTGTAATTTTGGAGGATGGGGAGTTTGGAGAATTGGAAATTACAGAATTGGGGATTTGGGGAATGAGATATTAGGAAATTTGCAAATTCAGATATTGGAACATTGGAAAATTGGGAAATGAGGGATTTTGGAAGATGGGAAATTTTGGGATTTAGAAATTGCAAAAATGGAGATTTGAGGATTTAGGAATAGCACTCTATAAAATTTGTCAAATGATAGTCAGGAAATTGGGAAACTATATGGGTGGAAATTAGGAAATTATGTGGGTGGAAATTAGGGAACTATATGGGTGGAAATTAGGAAATTATGTGGGTGGAAATTAGGAAATTATGTGGGTGGAAATTAGGAAATTATTTTGGTGGAAATTAGGGAACTAAATGGGTGGAAATTAGGAAATTATGTGGGTGGAAATTAAGGAACTATATGGGTGGAAATTAGGAAATTAGGGAACTGTATGGGTGGAAATTAGGAAATTATGTGAGTGGAAATTAGGAAACTATATGGGTGGAAATTAGGAAATTATGTGAGTGGAAATTAGGAAATTATATGGGTGGAAATTAGGAAATTATGTGAGTGGAAATTAGGGAACTATATGGGTGGAAATTAGGAAATTATGTGGGTGGAAATTAGGAAATTATTTTGGTGGAAATTAGGGAACTAAATGGGTGGAAATTAGGAAATTATGTGGGTGGAAATTAAGGACCTGTATGGGTGGAAGTTAGGAAATTATGTGGGTGGAAATTAGGAAACTGTATGGGTGGAAATTAGGAAATTACATGAGGGGAAATTAAGAAAATA